TAAACATTTAAAATATTTCTATAACTTACGAAAAAATCTCCCCGAGTTAACCCCTTTTTATAAAACAGAAAAAACTAGGCGCCAATGACGGTTGAAAATATATTATCGGAATAAAATTAGATTTTCATAAAATCAGTTACAAGCAACGCCACAAATTTGGAAAATGGCCCCATTCATGAATTTTTTATTTGCTTAACGGAAAGATATTGCAATTTTAAGGTTCTCTGTTATGTTGCCTACAAGTCATCCAAAAAAAATTATAAACTGGAGCGCTGAGTATCCGCTGAACCCGGTGTGACGTCACCGCATGGGAAACCGATGCCGCATGCTTGTGTATGGTGTCAGTCAGTCGGTTTCAGGTTGTAAGGTTTTAGTTGCCTGTTAAGATTCGATTGAGCACGTTAAGATACTGAATTTTGTTAGCAATATGGAAGACACAGAACAGAAAAAAAATACAAATATTGTATTTTTCCCCAGTGTGAGAGCACTAGTGTGAAGACGCCTAAGAAAATAACAATGTCCCCGTAATTCTGTCGTGTGGATCTAAAATCTATGGTCTATTAGTCTTATTTTGAAAGCAACAAAACTACCCTGCGTAATTTAGGTATGTAATAAATACGTGTGTATCTTCTAGAAACACTATACACTTGTGTTTTCCATTGTTAATTAAAAAAATCCATAACCATTAACAAACCTACTTCTGGTAAATTAGATGAATCTGCTTTTACGAAATTTGCTTCCATTTTTTAAATTTAATATGCACAAACGCTAAAACATTTTGTAGAATGCAGAAACTTATCTGCAAGTATAGAAAACAGTAAATTCACTGCCTATCTAACCTATTTATAAAAAATGGACTTTAGTTTCATTTTTATGTCGCTTTAAGTCACTGCGCAGAGACCACGCGCAAGTAGGGGAAGCTCAAAAATTGAAAGCTAAGTTGGGATTGTTGGTGGACTAGGGGCTGGGCTTGCTATTGCGCATAGACCAAGCGTCCCTGTATTGCACTTTTAGAGCAGTGGGGTTGTGGCCCACAAAAAAGGGTGAGTTAATTCACTGTTTTCTATACTGTGGTAGCGCCAAGCCGGCTGACCGTCCCATGCGGTGACGTCATTGCATTGCCACGGCTGTGATAAATATTCCCATTCATATAGTTTGAAAACCGTTCAATGGATCGAGTTGAAATTTTCAGGATCGCCAAATCATGAACATACTTTGAACATACCAAATTAAGAACATTTTCGAAAATTTACTCATTATAGACCTATAACAACCCGCCACATTGTGGATTTCTTAGTAGTATCACAGACAATATAGCTTATGGCAATAGCAATTTTGTCTCTGGTAGTATGTCGACAGGTACAGCCCAGTAATTTTTAAGAAGAATATCACTATCACTCTAGGGACCTTTTGCGGCCTCAATCAGGCATTCCATTGGGTGAACCATCAAAAATTGATTTCTAAAACGTTTTCTTATGGTATAAGTGGTTTGGCTCCGAACTGGGTACAAAATTTTCTTGAAAATCCATCACAATTTGTTACTACATAAAATGGTTATTCTGTGCATTATCCTGTACGGATGACTATACCACAATGTTCAATTCTAAACCCAGTGCTTTTTTAAATTTACGTAAATGACTCATTTCATGAAATAGAGGTTTTATTAAAAAATGGTTCTTTGACAACCATTTATATTTTAATATAAATTATATTTGGGTTCCCCTCCATGCCCATGCTCTCTGTGGGTTCTTAAGCAAAACACCCTGTAGGTATATTCAATTTGACCGTATAATTTATCAGTAATATTTAAAAAATATTACTGATAAAACGGTGAAAATTCCAGGTCTACATATAAACAAAATTTGTATGGTCTTCTCTGTTTCTGGGTAAATTCTACACTGTCCGGTTTTTGTCGTATAAAGAAGGTTGTTAAGAAGTATGACAGGAGTTTCTAGTCATTATTTATGTAAAGAAATAACGAGCTTTCAAATAAAAACGTGGTCGAAGTTGGCTCTGACACATTGGACGTAGTGAGTAGCTTATAGCGACCAACTTAACCTTATTTCTCAACGAGCTGTATAGCAGCTGTCAGTTTCAATAACGTTAATGACTATATAACTTTATTTTAAAGAATAATCGTGATAACAATAACAAACAATTAAAGGAGCTGCGGAAAGTGTCCCCCTCCTTGTTATAACAATAAATTAAAGCAGCTGCTGAAAGTGTCCCCCTCCTTGTTCCAAGCACTTTTCACACCTGTTCCTCAAAGAATTAAAGACATTTTCTAAGATGCTCGGGGTATTGTTAATTTCACGAATCTTGTCTATAAGTCGAGCCTGCAGATGGTTTAAATCAGGAATAGGCAGTTCAAAAATAGTGTTTTTAAGGTAAGGCCACAAAAAGAAATCACACGGCGTAATATCACATGACCTCGGTGGAAATTCATGTTCAGCATTGAGACTTATTAGTCGATTTTGGAAAACTTCCCTCAACATATTCATCGTCTCGCCTGCCGTATGTGCCCTTGCGCCATCTTGTTGAAAGTAAAAGTTTGTAATTTCGTTTTCTTCCAGCTGGTTAACAAAAGGAGCGATAATTTCTTCTCTATACCTTTGCGCAGTAAGAGTACCATTAAAAAAAATAGGTCCATAAATCCTCCTTCGATTGAGAGCACACCAAACTCCAATTTTTTGAGCGTGTAGAGGGCCCTCGACAAAAAAGTTATCTGGTTTTTCAGAAGACCACATTCTCATATTCTGTGAGTTTACGTAACCACTTAAATGAAACCAGGCTTCATCAGAAAAAAAGGTGATATTATGAAGTTCACCGTAGTTGTTTAAAAACCATTCACAAAATACAGCCCGTCGCGGAAAATCAACTTCATGAAGTTCTTGCTGACAAGTTAAACGATAGGAGAACAAACGCAAATCTTTTTTTAACACTGTGTGGCAGGTACCGACTGATACTCCCACCATTTGTGATAAAACACGTACAGAAGTTCTTGGCGCATTTTCCATTATTTGTTGGACATTTTCTTTTAATTCTTCAGTCCGCTTTTTAGGTCGGCCGCTTCCTTCTTTTCTTGTTACACTGCCCGTTTCACGAAAAACATTAACACAACGCTGAACTGCACTTTGAAAAATTTTGTACTCAACAACGCCGGGAAATTGATTTTGAAATTCTATGAAACATTCCTCAATAGAATACTTCCATATTCCATCAATCTTGCGTCCATTTCTAAAGTAGGACTCTATGATAAACACTTTTTGTTCTTGAGAAAACACCATTTTAAACGCTTTTTAAAACGAAAATATTCAAATTGATAGCGGCGATATAGCGCTTTGACTTGACCACGTTTTTATTTGAACGCTCGCTATAAAAATTGTAACTTTGTTGTCTCTGTTTATATTTGAAATATGTTTGTATGTGGACTTTCATGTCCCATTTACTACAATGAAAATTGCTAACTCAAAAAGACTTTTCTTAGTGGGGCCCTAGAAATACTGTCACAGTTTGCCAGCAAGTATAATGTAATGCATTGTATGTATTGTAATAGTATTTTTTAAAAACTTATTCCAAAGTAATTGTATAGTTCAGGGTGTTATTCGAAACAACAATGAAATAAACAAATAAAGTCTAATTACATCAAATAATGTCATTTATTAACAAACCAAACACTTTGTCGTGAAAATATAAAATGTAAAATGTTTCGAGGAACCTTTTTCCCTTTTTTGAAAGGAATTTCAACATTTTTAGAAATACTAAAGATTCTCAAAATGTGACATTTGACTAGATTTGGAATGGGAATGTATAAAATAATAAAAATATACAAAATTGACTAAAAAATATTAAGGTAGAAATTTCTAGTGTATCGTTCATTTCGGAAACTTCGTTTTCTCAAGCAGGTTGAATTCACACAATCGCTGTTTAATTGTTTCCCCATAGATAGAGGCATATGCATACTAGGAAATTTTGCAATTAACTTAAGTAATTCCTTATCAGTAACTACATAGATAAAATAAACCCATAAAAATAATAAAATATTGTATTGTCACATTCAAGGAAGATATATAAGTGCGGAAACCGGAATATCGCACTAATTATTAGCAGTTCTTTATACAATAACAAAATGAAAACCGCACTTGTGTTCGTATGTGCTATCCTAGGAGCTCTGGTAATTAAAAACGATAACTTTTTCAATTTTGGTAACGAAATTGACGTGCTGATTTCAGGCAAAGACCCATTTAGAAGAAGAAAAGGAAAAGCTGCATAAAATCCACGAGGAATGTCAGGCAGACCCAGCCACCTACGCTGACGACAAACTCCTGGAGAATTTGTCGCAAAACTTGGACAACCCGCAAGTTGAAGCCCACATGTTATGCGAATCGACAAAAGTTGGCCTACAGTGCAAGGATGGACACCTAAATATCAAAACCATCAAGGAAAAGGTGGCGCTTTGTGTGAAGGATGAAAAAGAAGTAGATAGACTGGTGAAGAAATGTGCCATACAGAGGGAAACTCCAGGGAAAACTGCTGTGTACCTCTTTATGTGTTTGGATAAAAATGGGGTCACATATTTTCATGAGTTTTAGAAACTGTATATATTTTCTAAAATTCTTTATGGTGTAAGTATAATCAGCAATGAAACTGTTGGTATTTTCAAGTATTTTTAAATAAATAAATAAATATAGTAGTATCAGTTTTGCTAATTTTATTAAGCATTATCTCTATAAATAGCACATGTCAAGTAGATTGCTTTTGCCTATTTGTCAACGAGAATTTTATGTTATTATAACGAGAAAATTGGTATCAATTACTGTTTTGTGCACTGTATTTACTAGTCTGTTTTTGAGTTAAAAAAAATCAGCAGACTTCATAATCTTTTAAATTTAATTAATCTTTGTTGTTCTGGAACTTATTTAAAATCACGAAAAGTCAGTAAAATAGTAAACAGGTCATACATATTGACTTCCTATCTACTCTAGGTTAAGAAATATTTAACCTATTTTTCTCGTAGATCTACATCTAATATTGCAAGCAAATCTCTTTGTGATATATTATCCGCTTTTAATATAGGAAATTGAAATATGATCAGATATTAATTGCCTTTTTTGTTCATTATTTAGGGATGTGAAGGTATTGGTAGCAGTAAAGTGAAACATTTTAAAAAAGTAATGGAAGTAGTTTTCTTTTAAAAAAAATGATGAAGAATGGTTTGGTACGATTTTCTAACGTACGTAGAAATATAACAGTATTTTAAATAAGCTAATACAGTATTTAAATAAGTAAATTGAAAATAATCTGACTGATATATCTTGGGAAGTGCGTTTTTGAAATAACTGAAAATAATTAAATTCTGTGTAATATTTTCAGTTATTGCAACTGAAATGTAGGACAAAAACAAACAGATATACAGGGTGTATTTAAATGGAGGGGCACAAATGTTACCAGAGATTCCTTGGGTGAAAATAAGTCGATTTAACCTAACATACCTATATCCCAAGTCGCATAATAAAAAAGATACAGGGTGTCAAGGTGAAAAATAAAAAATGGTTTTTCCTTGATAACTACCATAATTTTAATCAGAAATGTTTCAAATTTTCAACAGAGAGGTTTTTTAATGATGGAAAAAATAATATATTAATGATTTTTGAGTGTCGAGTACGAGGCGCCCTCTGCAGGCAACGTTATGCATTGAATATGTAGTAACTTTTTTGCCAACCCCCGTATACAGCTTTCAGTAACAAAATATGAAATATTGGACTTTTTTGAACAAAAAAGGTATACTTATTGAAAATGGCTAAAGCCAACCGTTGAGGAGATATTTTTAATTTCATAAATTAGTGTTACGGATTTATACCTCCACGAATACCAAGGTTCGAGTTGCTTAAATAAATAAAAAAATCGAGTAGGTAAATGTCATTTGATAATACTCGTAAATTGCAATTTTGAAGTATTAGTTTAAAGTGTTAATTGATTTTAGTCACTATTTACCTGCATCCTAGATATTAAATAGTTTTGGAATTGAATAAAATAACAAATTATGTATACTAATGACGAGTATGTCGATATGTTGCAAGTATTTTTTAAATGTTACAAGAACTGTGCTGCTGCTGTACGACTTTATCATGCCAGATATCCCAATCGTCGTGTTCCTGCTAGAAAAACTTTTGCGGCGGTAGAAAGAAGACTTCGAGGAAACGGACACATTCAACCTCGTCCTGAAGGTACTGGCAGAAGACGTCTTATTCGCGATGTAGAACTTGAAGAAGTTGTCCTTGGCAATTTACAAGATCAGAATTCTGAAACTAGTACCAGAAAATTGGCGACACAGTATAACGTTTCACATACTACGATTTGGAAAATTGCAAATGATAATCTTTTATACCCCTACCATCTACCTGTGTATGAATTGACTGCTGCGGATTTACCTAACAAGATATATTTTTGTCAATGGTATATGAACATTTCAAGGGAAAACAGAAATATTTTATCCGGTATTTTGTTTGGTGATTAAGCGTCATTTTCACTCATGGTCTGACAAAAATCCTCACCAAGTTTGTACATCCAAATTTCAACATAATTTTAGTTTAAATGTATTGGCAAGAATCGTAGAAGATTATCTTATTGGTCTGTTTATTCTTCCTCGGCATCTCGGCGGAGCTGGATATTTGAATATTTGAGATTTTTAAATGAGCAACTCCCAATATTGCTTGAAGATGTGCCACTAGCTATCCGTGAACACATGTGGTACGCACGTGACGGAACTCTTGTTCATAGTTGTTAGGCAATGGTTAGTAGCTGTTAGACAATGGTTAAATTTAAATTTTCCTGAGAGATCGATAGGTCGAGGGAACGATGCACCAGTCAAATGGCCTGTGCGATTACCGGATCTCACACCCATGGACTATTTTTATGGGGTCACTTAAAAATGTTGTTTATTCCAACCCTATTGATAGTGTGGAGAATTTTTGCAGCAGCTGAGGAAGTAAAGAATGACATACATATTTTTTCAAGAGTTCGCCGTAATTCTAATCGTAGAATTAGACTATCCTTGCAGGAAAATGGAAATGACTTCGAAAATATCCTTTAAAAATTTTTTTATTGCCAGCCAATTACATATTTCTCTTAAATTATCTAGGTATTGACTGTTAAGTAGTGACTCTTGGTTTTAGTTGTTTTGCTTGTTTTAGTTGTTTTCTTTAACTCAGAGTTTAAATAATTTCACATACACAAGAAAATGTGTTTTTTAATAAAGACACCGAAAAAACAATTAAATAGAAATTATGCAACAAGTGTATTCACACACGCTAAAATAATAGGTACGCAAAAATAGTAAAATAAAGTTAAAACAAGAAAAATAATGTCTCAGTTGATTTCTGCGCCCCCTTTTGGTCGAATTTTAAAATACAGAACACAACTAATAATTACTGTGAGGCAATGCGTTCTGAATTTATTAACAAAAGTGTCTGTTTATACCTTGGTATTCGTGGAGGTATAAATCCGTAACACTAATTTATTAAGTTAAAAATATCTCCTAAACGGTTGGCTTTAGTCATTTTCAATAAGTATACCTTTTTTGTTCAAAAAAGCCCAATATTTCATATTTTGTTACTAAAACGTTAGGTTAAATCGACTTATTTCCACCCAAGGAATCTCTGGTATCATTTGTGCCCCTCCATTTAAATACACCCTGTATTCACAGTGTCTTCAGTTCTTTTTAGAACCATATCGCTGTTTTGATGCAATCGGAAATGACTTTTCATTGAAAGATGGTTGCAATATTTTTTCAATTTTATGTTTTTTATGTATGTATGTATGTGTATGTAACTGTTTTCAAAATATTAACAGGTGTAAATCAATTTCCTGAAGTTTTAGGCCTTGGTATACGGAAAACGGAAAGAGTTACAAAAGTATGTTTTTATGTCAAAATTTGTCAAATATTTTTACAGAGTAGTTCAAGACTTACATATCAATAGCTCCAGAACTTTTAGCCAAATTTTAAATCGCGAAAGCTTTACGCGCACATTTCAACGACGCATTCTCAATACTGTTGTAACACAGTTTTACACTTTGCATTTTTAATTCCAACCCACGTTTTGAATGTGAAAGAGTATGTTTATGGGCAAATAACAACAATTCTGAATGGCGCGTTGAATTTCAAACACTTCTGTTTGGCGTGTGCATTTAGTATGTACTAATAATATTGGCCGCTGAAACTGCAAACTGTACATTCTTAAATAAAGTGTTTATGTGAACATGTACTCCTAAACGTATTCATGTAAATGGGGTAAGCAACCTATGGAGTGATAATAATTTATATAAACAAATAAAATGTGTTTTTCTTAAACGTTTTTTTAAATAAGAAAGATCTTTTATTTAATAATATTCAGGTCCAGCTCGCCTTTAGGTAAATTCAGGGTTGTAGGCGATTTCGTGGTCATAATAAGTGATTTTCTTGATATAGATATAGGGCTATAATGTTTGAGCAAAACACGTTTTTGAAGATATTATAGGAACGTATAATATAATAAATAGAATATAATTCATTTGCATCAAGTGTTGTTCACTTTTCTCTATACTCCTATTTCTTAATAGAATAGATTATAACAATATACATATGTATATGTGTAGGTATTGGATAAACTAACAAATAATTTTATTGAGACTAATTGCACGAAACTAAATTTGTACAGGACATAGCTAATACGATGCGAAACATCGCCTTAATGTTAAAAATGTTGTCACCGCCGTTCTTGGTGGTGAAAATTCGAAATATTTGGAATTATTCAAATTTCGTGGCTGGAAAACATACATAGGTAATGTATTTTTAAAAGCGAGAGAGTTGCGCGAAACTAAATTTTTACAGGACATAGCTAATACAATCCGAAACATCGCCTTAATATTAGAAATGTTGTCACCGCCGTTGTTGGTGGTGAAAATTCGAAATATTTGGAATTATTCAAATTTCGTGGCGAAAAACATACATAGGCATTGTACTTTTGAAACCGAGAGAGTTGCACGAAACTAAATTTGTACAGGACATAGCTAATACAATGCGAAACATGGCCTTAATGTTAAAAATATTGTCTCCGCTGTACTGCTGTTCTTGGTGGTGAAAATTCGAAATATTTGGAATTAATCAAATTTCGTGGCTTAAAACATACACATGTATTGTACTTCTGAAACCGAGCGAGTTTCACGAAATTAAATTTGTACATGACATAGTTAATACGATGCGAAACGTCGCCTTAATGTTAAAAATGTTGTCACATCCGTCCTTGGTGGAGAAAATTCGAAATATTTGGAATTATCCAAATTTCGTGGCTGAAAAAATACATAGGTGTTGTATTTTTGAAACCGAGAGAGTTGTACGAAACTAAATTCGTACAGAATATAGCTAATACGATGCGAAACATCGCCTTAATGTTAAAAATGTTGTCACCGCCGTTCTTGGTGGTGAAAATTCGAAATATTTGAAATTAATACATAGGNGAGTTTCACGAAATTAAATTTGTACATGACATAGTTAATACGATGCGAAACGTCGCCTTAATGTTAAAAATGTTGTCACATCCGTCCTTGGTGGAGAAAATTCGAAATATTTGGAATTATCCAAATTTCGTGGCTGAAAAAATACATAGGTGTTGTATTTTTGAAACCGAGAGAGTTGTACGAAACTAAATTCGTACAGAATATAGCTAATACGATGCGAAACATCGCCTTAATGTTAAAAATGTTGTCACCGCCGTTCTTGGTGGTGAAAATTCGAAATATTTGAAATTAATCAAATTTCGTGGCTGAAAACATACATAGGTGTTGTATTTTTGAAACCGAGAGAGTTGCACGAAACTAAATTTGTACAGAATATAGCTAATACGATGTGAAACTTCGCCTTAATGTTAAATATGTTGTCACCGCCGTTCTTGGTTGTGAAAATTCGAAATATTTAGAATTATTCAAATTTCGTGGCTGAAAACATACATAGGTATTGTACTTTTGAAACCGATAGAGTTGCACGAAACTAAATTTATACAGGACATACAATGCGAAACATTGTCAGTTAAACAAAACCGCATGGTAGTAAAAATCGCTTCACTGAACGTATTAATATTAAAAAAAATGATTTTTTATTGATTATAATTCAATTTATGACATATTTAAATCAATTGATA